TTCCAAGTCAGGTTAAAGATATTTATCTTTGTTTTTAAGTGTCTGCAGGGCAGTGCTCCTAGCTATCTGTCTGAGCTGCTCACCCGCTAACAACCATCACGTGCACATAGGTCATCACAGCAAGACTTGCTAGTCGTTCTGCGAGTAAAATACTCGACTAGAGGAGGTAGGGCTTTCTCAGTTTTCGCCCCCCAAGCTGTGGAATGACCTTCCACTCATGACCAGACATGCACCCTCACCTTAAAGGGACTTTACGGACTTTTGAATTTTTATGTTTGCGATTGCCCCCTCAGGCTAAAAGCGTAACGGCAGCTTCAATAGTAGGCTCGTGCACGAGGCACGCATGCTGTACGTGCACACTCCTTAACGAAAATAACAGCTGAGACAGTCCTGTGTGTGTGTGTGTGGCCCGGAGGACAGAGGACAGGAGAACACGCAGCTAATTAATTAAATAATGTGGTTCTGTACCTTTCTCTTCAGCACAGCCGACAAAGGTTTATGATGGGTCAGTCCTCCTGCATGCTCAGGTCATTCCCTTCCCGTGCTTGAAAAATTGTTCCAAAATGAAAGTTGAACCCACATCTTTTTTTATCTGTGAATTCAATGCCGTTCGGCGAGTCTCAAATAAAAATTTGGGCATCTTACTGTAAAAAAACATATCATTAATGTAAAAAAGAAACTCTAAAAAAACTATGTCACATCCTGAATCGAATCCGGGTCTTCTGCATGAGAGTCAGACATCTTACAAGGTGAGCTACACACCAGTAACATTCACAGTATCTGTAACTTTTATATCCTAGATAACACCTGAAACAACGTCTAACCAAAGAACGGTTCGGAGCGAAAATGGCTACTTTGTTGCTAATTTGCAGGAAATATCTAGAAGAAAGTTCTACAGAAAGTAGCTAAGGGTCCTCAGAAATGTAGCTAGCTTTGTCACTAGGCGTTAGGAACAGCGACAAAGTGGTACTACCTCTCTCTCTGCTGCTAAAGCTACTGATAGCAAATGCTACGGGCTATGCCTGAGCGTGAACGCGCATGAAGCAGCCTGCTCGACCCGAGCATCTCTCTTTTTCTGTGATTTTACAGAAAAACAGGAATCACAGTAAAAATGCCAGAGCTCATTCTACAGGACCAGGGCATTGCAGGAGAACGTATGAAGAAGACATTTATTATTTCTATACATGTTTGGCGTCAAACTTCCCTAATGTCCCTTTAATGATACTTATCTTTGTTTTTAAGTGTCTGCAGGGCAGTGCTCCTAGCTATCTGTCTGAGCTGCTCACCCGCTAACAACCATCACGTGCACGTAGGTCATCACAGCAAGAATTGCTAGTCGTTCTGTGAGTAAAATGCTTGACTAGAGGAGGTAGGGCTTTCTCAGTTTTGGCCCCCAAGCTGTGGAATGACCTTCCACTCATGACCAGACATGCACCCTCACCTTAAGAGTTGGATGAAGACTCACTTTTATACAATGGCGTTCCATCAGCACATGAGTTAGCTATATTTTTAGACTATTTTAGACAACTTGGCTCATTTTTATCCAGTTGTATTTACATAATTTTATCTTGTTTTATACTGACATTCTTTGCTTTTGTTTCATGTTTTTGTTTATTTCATGTATATTTTATTGTTGGCCATGTGTTGTTTTAAATTATTTGTACGTGTGCAGCACTTTGGTTCACCTCTTGGATGATGGAAAGTGCTAAAGAAATAAAGATGATGATGATGACGATGATGATGATGATGATGATGATTACAAGATGAGGGCCTAACCTCTAAGCCGTGGCAACCCTTACAATCTTGCTCACAAAATTACCCATAAAATAATGTGTAGCTTACCCTCGTCAGGTTTCAGTTCACTTCATATTCGCTCACCAGAACCAAGGTGTCCGTGATCCGCAAATTAATAAAAATGTAAAAAATTGTTGTGGTTTCACAGAAGAAGAAAAAGAATGGAACAGACGAAAGTGCGCTGTAATAGCAGCCCTAACAGTAAAACTGACAACAAATGACCCAGTTTCATCGTGTTTTATATTAACCTCAAGTTTCATTTAGCTAAAGCACTAGCTGGTGTTCATCAATTATGGTTAATTTCCCTTTGAATAAAAATAATCATTAATGAAATCAAATATAAAGCTACATGAATCAAAGAAAAGCCGAGTGTAATTTTTAGGTAAACGGTGAACAAGCAACACCATGACTGAAACGGGTTATGGTTTAAGATTTAAATAACACGTTGAATGCTAATGTCCAACAGTTAGTTGGACACCAGAGTTTAATTGGATAGTTCTGTACCCCCCCCCCCCCCCCCCCCCCCCCCAAATCTCCAATCCTTAAAAAGTTAGTGTTCACCATCTCCTGCTTCTTATGACCCCATCCTTCCAGCTTCAGCCCTCAAAAGTCCTGACTTATGGTCCCATCTTCACTTGAACTCATTTCCCTTCGCCTCACGCCTCCTCTCTTATGGCAGCCACAAACTCTCACACACAAAAACAGAGTAACTCTTACAGTAAGAGCATCCACTCTGACCCTAATAGAGTAAGAGAAAGGGTCAGAATGAGCGATACGGAGAGGCACTTATGGGAAACAAACTCCTCCCATGGCTATCCATCGCTGTGTCACAACCCATCTTTTATCTCTAGATTTGACAAACCCTGGTGACTCATATGATAATTTTAAAGATGGCTTCATTCGGATGTAAACGGAAAAGGAGGAGCTAACCTGCAGAGAGGAGCCCCCCCCCCAAAAGTCTGCAGCACCATCTTTTTTTACACTCCACTGCTTTTTTGCTGCAGTGTCCCGTATTAGCCACTCTTCCCTCCATCCTTCCATCTTTCTTACTCTCCTCCCCCACCACCACCCAAACTGCAACCGAGCTGATTCTTATCCACCGTCTCTCAAGCCAACATTTTAAGCCAAAAGGAGAGAATAGTCAGGATTATTTATGAAGGGAGATAAAGCCACATGCTGAATTCACAGATACAGACACAAGCAAATGCATAAATGGCTTCCCATCAAATGAACAAGTAACATTTTACAGAAGGAATAAAAAGACAACATGTTTTGACACAACTGTATTTTTTTTTTACAAGTAAATCTATATTGTTCTGCCAAAAAGATAAATATTAATGATTTATCCTCTGCAGCCAGCCTTCTGGGCATTTCAAAAAGATGTACTGGTGTGTGAGTGCCCCTCGAGCTCTGCAGCATTAGACTCAATTACCAGATGAGACCTACACACCAGACTTATACAATTGGATCACAATTATGCAAGAAGTACAGAAGATATACCAGCAGTTCAGAAGATGAAGGGAAGTAGTTCCAACCTGCACAGGTTCACCAACTGTGTTTAAATTCCAGTTCATCAACTTTTGCAAAAAAAAAAAAAAAGTATAAAATCCTTTGCTGGAATTCACAAAAAGCCATAACGAGTGAGTAAAACCAAGCGAGCATTCTTCCATCTGTCAGTGACAAGGAAGCAGTTAAAGTAGAATTGTACAAAGTCTTAAACACACTGCCGGCCTATGGGAAATCGATACAGAGCCTTGGAGCGTGGTATTATACTGCTGTGATTCTCTCTTCTCCTATCGTGCGCCCCACTACCATCTCCACTAGACACTCCATCCTGCCGTCCTCCATCCTCTGGGGATAACGTGACTTTAACCGGCAGTCAACTCACATCAGTCTACTTTCTTTGTTTGTTTTGAACAACAAAAGATGGTAAAGGTACTCCTCTCAAAATGAAAACAATTTTGTAAGACAAACGAGTTTCCAGGCTGAACAAAACGCCGGGAACAGAGTTTCTAAATGGAGGCTTGGGTTTACAACCACTGAAAAATGACACAATCTCAGTAACCTACTCTTTTAATAAAAGGTATTGACGGAAGTAAATTTCTGCTACACACATTTACAGTAGAGTGTAAAGGCAAATAATGATAAGAGGACATTTTGTCTAAATATTTTACTGTTTTGTGCAAAAAGGAAACTGAAATTTCAAAATAAAATCAAGTATGTGGCCTTTGGTAAAAATTAGAATTGTTCAGGGATACTAAGCAGTTTTGGCTTGCTTTTAGCACCCCCTAGTGCCTGTATTTGATATAGCGCCTTCTAGAGTCCTGGAACCCCCCAAGGCGCTTTACAACACAATCAGTCATACACACATTCACACACTGGTGGGGATGAGCTACAATGGAACCACAGCTGCCCTGGGGCACACTTACGGAGGCGAGGCTGCCGAGCACTGGCGCCACCGGTCCCTCCGACCACCACCAGCAGGCAACGTGGGTTAAGTGTCTTGCCCAAGGACACAACGACAGCGACAGACTGAGCGGGTCTCGAACCTGCGACCTTCCGATTGCTAGCTAGACGAGCACTTAACTCCTGTGCCACCGTCGCCTCACACCTCTGATCACATATAAACAATAGTCACTTCCTGCTTGAAACTTGTTTCATCACTGTGCATTTGTCTTTATAACACCTGAAACTAATAGCTGAAATGTCTTCTCAACCTTCATTAGTTTCTACAGGAGTGGTTCATCACTAAATCAAACAAATCAGCTGTGTTCATGACCTACAACATGCAAGAAACGTGCTAGAAGCAGACTGCCACGCAGCTAAGTCCAACAGGGACCAGACTGGCAACTTTGAAGTTGCAAGTGCGATATTCTGGCCCTAGTGTGTGGTGGGGGTTTGAGTGACATTATATTAACCCTGTAAATCAGGGCTATTCAGTTCCGGCCCACGAGCACACTTTGGTTTTAACCCTGCTTCAACACACCTGAAATCAACTAGCAGGTGATTAACAGGCTTTTCAGAGCCTGATGAGCTGCTGCACAGGTGATTCAACCACAGAATCAAGTGTGTTGGACCAGAGAAACCACTAAAAACGTGCTGGATACCGGCCCTCGAGGCCCGGAATTGAATAGCCCTGCAGTAAAAGGTCATTTGAGCACATACTGGCTCAGTGCATTGGGTGTTACCTTGTCTATAATACTCACATTCTTCCTCTTTGGGGTCCAGTTGAGTGACGCTGACCGAGAGGCGGTCCACTCGCTCCTGCAGAGAGTTGACCCGGAAAGAGAAGGAATGGGCCTCATTGAACAGCTCTCCAAAAAGGTCCTCTGCATATTTACCTGCAAGCACACAATATGTAATAACTTAATTCATGCTTAGGAAGCTTTCAAATCAGTTCTGTTGAAGGAAAGACGTTTGTCTGAACGATCTGAGCTATTGATTAGCACGTAAGCAAAAAGCTAGCGGTCTAAGAAGATATCTACAATTTACTCAGCTGTTCAAAGAGTCATTTCTCATTAATACAAGAATTTTTACTTTAATGTAGCTGCCAGTTGTGCTTCATGTCAAGTGACTCAGGGGATTCTGACAGTCTACAGAACTTACTGTGGGTCCTTTTAGCTTCAAAAGTCAAATCTTTGTCAAACGTGGCAAACTGTTGCTCCTTTTCTGTCTCAGTCCTTTCAGTTTTAAAGATATGCTGCTCTTTTATTAAGAGGCGGAGAAACAACTTGTCTGCATGGACTGGAAGTCTCTGGAGGGTTGCAGACTGACTGCTTTAATGTTTTGCTGAAGATGAGTTGTGTAATGCAGACAGGTTTGGTTATATCACAATGTGCATCTGAATTAGTTTTTATTTCCAGCTTCTATAAATTGGCTGGGATTTCTGTCAAAATCCATTCACTGTGATCATTTTATACTGGCTGTTAGGTCAGTTCATGTTGTTGTTTTCTTATTTTTAAGACAATGTCCTGAAACCGTCTCTCTTGTGTGTGCTGTCCATGGTCCTGAACTGTGAAACCAAGACATTTTACTGTAAACAAACAGGGATTTGATATTTTATCACACTGATGTGAAAGTAGAAGCTCAAATATTATGAACTACATTACAATAAAGAGGTAGTGCACTTATAATTAACGTAATTAATAACATTTTTGCATGATGGCAGACTCAAACTGAATTGCAATGTATTTAAAAGTTAGTTGTGGTCAAGAGTTATTGATATATCAGCTGTTGGTGTTTTAAATGAGCATACGTCTGTTAAAGTCAGAAAAAAAGTGTGTGTGTGTTTGTACATATTCTTGTGTCACTGACTGAGGCTGCTGAGCTGACGGATGACGTTGGCCAAGGAGATGTTTGTCACACATTCCAGCTCATTCTTGATGTTCCTTGGAAGAACCGTATGGCACAGGTGCCTGGGCTCGATGGTGCTCTTCACCAGCGGCATCCTTTAGCTGTGACAAGGCTACCTAGAGGAGGGAGACAGCAAAGGGAGAGAATAGGAAGAAGAATTTCATTAGTCCTCAAATGCTGACTACACTGCAGAAACGTAAGACACCACACCACAATTATCATCCAAGAAGAAGAAAACAATGCAGTGTCTTTGTGGTTTCACCAATTTTTCTCTGTTGTGTCCTTTTTCACCATATCTATAAATGGATTTAACTCATCAGAGCGCTCTGTAAGGTCCCGTAGCCACCCTAATCCCTTGCATGACAGGAGTTGTTAGAATCATTTCTCCTCCTTTGCAACAACATAAGGAAACAGGAACAGAGGCAGAGGATAACAGGTGACACTTGAGTCACACAATCAGATTATCTCCAGAAAATGTATACTTGGGTTAGCAAACGCAGCTGATACTTTTACCCAAAACTCATAACCAGTAAGAAAAATCTACCTATTGGCATATTCTGTTTATTAAAGGTGTGAAACACTCTTGTAATCAATGCATTTGCAGTGGTTTCTAGTAGGAATGAATGCCTTGGAAGTCTCAGGAGGGAATAAATACACCGGTGCACCAATCCCAGGAACTAGAAGTGAGCCACATCACAGGTGAGCTTCAGGCGGCAGGTTTTGAAGTATTTCTTCTTGATATTTGGACATCTAACAACACAACTCTACCACTGGCTTGCAACGTTGATGTTTAATCTTCACAAATAACACAAGCCTGGAGGAGTTTTGCCGTGTGGTGAAGTTTCTAATGCTAACAGTTAGCTTCTGCTAACCGAGGCGTTCTCTGCTGTTTCCCGGACGCTAAACCAACAATATCCTTCCCCGTCGAGATGGGGTGAGTCCATGAATTTTAAGTGTCAGTGTGATGTAAATATGCCAGGATTTTCAAATCTATCAGAAGCTAATATAGGAGATAGGTGTAGAAGACTATTTTCATGTTCACCCTGCATTAAAAACTGAGTGATCGATTATAATGAGAAATAAGATTTTTAAATGGTTTTTCAGTGCTCCAAACATTTAAAGGTGGGGTAGATGTTTCTCTTGAGTATTTTTCTCTTCACATACTGAAACTGAAATGTGTTGTCAATAAAAGGAATAACTGTGATCACCTCTGAAATGTACAATACTGTGAAAACCTTCTCCAGTCACCGTGAATGTCGTGTTTTAAATGACTGGATTATAATTTAACCTTTTTTTCTGTTAATTGTTAATGTTGAGTACAAGTTGTTATGTCCTTAAACCATAATTATGGAGAGCCACAAGCTCACTCTTTCCCATGCTAATGCCTTTTGACAGTGCTGAAATCTTTTTTTAACAATCATCATTGTGATAGTGTTCCCTCCTGAGGCTAATGCATACTAAATTCTATGGCAAAAGTTGTTCATCTGTCTTTAACACCTAACGTTACAATTCTGGTGTTACAAACAGAGAAAGCTTTACAGTTCAAATCATGGAAATGAAAGATATGTTAAAAATAAGTGCAGCTCGAATGTCCCACCCAGTCAAAAAGTGATTTCACCACAATGAGGACAACCAACCATTAGAACTACAACAAGCCAACTCTGGTGATAATTTTATCACTCACTGTAGAGACAAAACAACAAAAATAGGATTCAATGGGCTTAAAACAGAACAAGTGAGAAGTCTGTGGAAAGGGTGAGAAACCAGAGCTTTGATCAGCAGAAGAGGCGGAACACCATCTACCAACGTGACTTGCTTTGAAACAACAGCAGTTAATCACACTCTCAACATTTCACTATCATCTCTCTGCTGTGAGCTTGTGTTTAATTGGAGGAGGCAAGTGAAATGATGTGGATATCAGGTGCTGTGACAGACTGACATTTTGGCCTTGACAGCAATAAGACCGCATCAGAGCAATGATTAAACTTTAATTGATGTGTGGTGCCTTTAATGTTCTGCTGTGTTTCTAGATGTGTGTCTGTCACAGCGAGATAAACATGATTATTGACCGTATCCATAGAATTGTAAAGCAAGAAAGGCTATTCTAGGAACCTGCCCAGCTCTGAGATAAGAGACTCCGCTGAGATGAGTCATCTCAAGTGAGGCCAGCATGATGCACCTCTCTGAGTTAGTTTTAATCCCAGAATAAAAATAACACTATAAGGAATTTGTATTCGAATCGACCCTGTGCACGAAAATATGCATATTTCCAGGTTCAGACTGGAAGTTTAGGTTAGTTATTTCCAGCTAGTATTATGCTAATGAAAATATGTGGTAAATGAGAGGATAAATGAAGATATTTTGTTGTAAAATTTTGCTTTGATTGGCATGTCTGTGTTGGTGTGTGTGTGTGTGTGTGTGTGTGTGTGTGTGTGTGTGTGTGTGTGTCGACCTACTCCCCACCCCCTTGATCAAAATGGATGAACGTAAAGCTGCTAGAAAACAGGGGAATAGCAGTGAAGATGGTGAACAACTGTGACATCACTGAAATTGCTAGAGCTGAGGAAAATAATCAAATAATCGATGCATCGGGATGCGGACATAAACGATTCTGCACTGTAGAGGAATACGCCATAATCGATTATGGTGGAATGTAGTTTAGCTTTTTTAATGGTGGTGTCGGTACAGGATCGGCTCGGGAACCTTCGACTGCCGATGACGTCAAAGTAGTTGATTAGCTGAACATGAAGCTTACGGAAATGACGTTATCACGTTATGATTCTGATTGGTCAGAACAAATTTGCGGTCGTAGTCTTAGCGGTTGTAGTCCTGTAGTCCAAAAATCAACACATTTTGGAGAAAATATGTTTGAATTTCTAAAGGAAATGTAAAATATGAGCAAATTATAAACGGTGACCCCCAAAAGCTCTTGATGTTGATGAAATGGGGCAAAATAAAATATAAGAACTTTATTGAAAGACTCCAAGCAATATTTAGAGTCAAAGAATGTATTTAGATAACAACTAAGGAAATATACAGATGAACTCCACATTAATACAAACAGACATGGCTTCACATATAAGAACTGTTCTGTTTTTTGTCAGTCCGATGTTGGTTTTATGCAGTTTCACATTCTTTACAAAACAAAGATAATATGGTGTTTTATTAACAAATTACAATTATAAAGAAAACATTTAGGCGTTAACAAACAAGAATTTATTAACAAAACTGCTGATGTCTTTCCAAAACGTATGTGTGAAAGCCGAGTAGATTTGCAGTCATGTGACGTCATCGGCAGTCGAAGGACCCCGAGCAGATCCTGCACCGACAGCGGCACCCCCGCAGCATCCAAATCTGTCAAAGTGAGTGCCCTCCACATTTACCAAGTGGTTCTGCCTTAATGTGGTACTGCAGGGCTGAGCCCTGGAGTTGTAACCTGAGACCGAACCAGACCCAAATCAGCCCGAGTGGTTCTGTTGGATTTGGGCCGTGAATTATGTTAATTTAGCAGGTTATCGCGTGGCGCGCTCCGCTCGCTCTCACAGCAACTGAGAGAGAGAGAGAGAGAGAGAGAGAAAGAGAGAGAGACACTGTCTGCTCACACGAGAGAGAGGATTGGAGGACGCTACTCAAAACGCATTATTATTTTCATAATTTAATTATCATTTCAACTCGAAGCGCTCAGTCAGACCGAATGTTGTGGTGCTGGGAGATCCGGTCTTGGGGAGGGGGCCGGAGAAGTTAAAAGGAGAGAGAAATAGAAGATAGAAGTTCTTGTTCCACTTAATTATTTTGTTTCATGAAGATAAACTGATGTTAAATTCATCTTAAAGAGAAACTGGGAGGAAGCTTTGGTTCATTTTAAGTTACAGGAGATCTTGTCTTCTACCTGCTCCTCCAGAGACAGCATGGAGGGTCACATGGTGAGGGTCACACAGGACAGCTTAGTGGAAAGGTTTGTAGTTAGCTGGTTAGTGAAGGAGATCCATCAGCTGGGTAATTTAATCCTAATCCAGCCCACATCCTTCTGCTGGTGTTATTATCAGAAAGAATAAAACACACATCTTAAATATTATTGGAAGTGTATAATTTGTTTGATGTTTTATTATTTTCTGCATCAAACAGAACTTGATTCCTGCTCCAACATTTCAGAAATGAACCACTGGGTTCAAATAAAATAAACTAAGTCAAACATTTCATTTGGTGTTATTTCTGACAGACTTGAACTGCAGCATAAATATTTGACTCTAGAGCTGCTCAGAGACATTAAACACTCATTTATGAACCCATTATGGATTTTATTATTACATTATGTGTCCTGTAGGTTTTCAGTACTTTTTTAGATTTTGTGAGTTTTTGCAAAGCGTGTTTTTCTCAGCCTGAGGCGTGGTGTTGAACCAGGAAACAGATTGTTTTACTTTGTTAAATCTTCTTAAATGTTTAAAATGTTTCGTCCTTAACTGTTGTGAATGGAGAGCTTTTGAGGGATGGCAGGTTGTGTCAATTACGCTTTTGATAAAAAAAATAATGAAAAGCAATTCTCTGACATCTTCTATTCATCGATGAAAACAAATCAATATGAAATAATCGTGACGCATCGGGATATCGAATCGAATTGAATCGAGAGACAAGTGAAGTTTCACACCTCTAGAAATTGCCGCCAACTAGTTTCCCTAAACGTCTGTGAAGGACCCTGGATAATAGCAAAAAAGCACGTGCGTGACACTCCGAACTAACAGGGGAATAGTGGTAGTGATCCATACCACATCAATGGTGAAATGAAGGACTATTGTGGCAGATAATGCCCTATTTAGAGGTTGCGGATTGCAGATTGTGGATAGCACCAACGTTCTCTGGGTTAGTAAATGAACATGTTCCATAGTATAAATAAGGTCCAGGTAGCAAAAACGAAAACTGTAGTTAGCTTTCAATAAAACTCCAACGTGTTTGTCATGTCTCTTTAAGTCAAGTTTGCACTAGTTAGCACAGCCGCGTTACGTACTCACCTTCATAACTGTGCACATACTGGGATATGTACAATTTGAATCCCTTTTCACGTTTGCTGTGTGATGAGCAGACGCAGCATGCATTTACTGCCACGTAAACACAAGCACAC